AGGTGCTGCCAGTGTTGCAACGATTCGGATGGGAGTTGTCCACTGTGGTGGTCCCTTTCCCTTTATATAGATCAGATACTCCACGGTAGGAAGCAGAGATCTCACTTCATCTTGAATGAGAGATTTCAAGCCTTACCAGGCAGCGAAGTTCAGGGCGCTTGGGCAGCGACTGCCCCAACCAGCTTTTTAACCTTGGAAAGTTTTCTTTTGCAAATTTACATGCAAAAAAGAAGTTACCATCAAAGATCGCTGGAACCGCGGTTGACACTGCTTTTGAGCCGAGACAGCGCACTATCTGCAGCTTTCAGAGACTGCGGATGGTCAGCTGAAAGCGAGCCGCTGTCGTGCATGCCCCGGACGTGTGCGGAAAAATCAAGTCTGTGTGGTGAAATGCTTTAAAGGCCGCAGATCTCAACCTACAGCAATCTCGGTCCAGGCCCATTGAAAATTGGGGAAAACCCTTGTGGAACACATCACAGACGTCTTTTGGAACGACAGACTTTGCCACACCATGCAGATCCATCTCCAGCCAGAAGTGCCCGGATGAGCTTGCGCTTGCGGCGGGTTCATTCGGCTCGGAGTGCCTTGGAGATGTCGAAGCCTCGGTTCCCCGTCGGAGTGACCCAAAAAGCACGAACCCAGTGGAACCCGGTAGAACCGACCGTGGAGGTCTCATGCTTTCGTTGGACGCCCAAGGCTGTTGGAATGGATCGGAGGATCCTTCATGCGTGTGATTCAGCGCTTGGAGGCGCCCGTGCTCGGAGTGCAATTTGAGAGTTTAGATGTGTTTTGATGAACATCTGGCACGGCCGAGGCCAGCTTGCACTTTGTCGCTGCTCCCGGGAATCATATCTATAGCTGGCACCCGCCTCAGCCTCAGCCCATGACCAACGGAACAGAGCGATATACTGGAGGTATTTGAAAAGACTTCGAGCCATCAGAGCGATTGGTGGCGTGGGGCGACAGACGACACCTCAGCTTGGATACAGAGGGATCTTCCCCATATGATATATGGCACCATGAGATACCATGAACCTTGATCTTTGGTCTTTGGTGCATTGTGGAGACGCAGAATCCACACCTGACATTGTCCAGGACTGGCTTGTACCTGAGACACCGAAAACCACGTGGATCACAGGAGATTGCACAGTTGTCTAAGTGAGCATTTGAGTGGAGTAGATCGTAGACGCACGCCAGCAGTTCCCATCGCATGCATTCTTCACTGCGCAGTTTGGGCAGACAAAAAGATAACAATTTACATCAATTTACTACAACTAGCACACCTTGAACGTAGGAGGAAACACGAGCTGCTTGATTTGCCAGGAGTCCACTCTTCTTTGCTTGATTGTCATTATCGCCGTTGCGGTTTTGGGCTTCATCGCGCAGTTTTCCATTCTATTCAGGCTCGTTAGTTGGGACGTAAAGCCGGACCGATTTGGATGCGAGTGCTTTAGATTGCATACCACATCGAACGGACAAACTTCCCAATAGACGTGCATTTCCGAGAGACAAGTCTCAGCCAGCCTGTCGGTTGGAGTCTGTCTCTGCCCTGTGTCAGTGTACAGCCTCGCCATGGAGCATTCTTTGCAGCACTCGTCCTCAGAGGGCCAAGGGTCGCACTCCAAACGTGCTCGTTCAAATGCAACGAGCTCGAGACATCGCTTTTCCGAGGCTTTGCTGCTACCACCGTTCGCAGACATCTTGGCTCTTGTGAACACCACGCTTTTTGTGTGCGGTGCTGCGGACTGGACATGCCTTTTCATCCCCTTGAATCCCGCTTTTCGTGTGCGTTTCTTGGTGAAGCCGCGCAGGACGGTACCACTGCCTGCCTCTTTGTGGTTGCATCCAACTTGAATTCCTTGATTGGCCCGCAGCCCTTGTTGGCGCTTCATGTTGCTTCTCAACTTTGCTTCTTGTCGGTTTCTGCGCCAAGGCCTTTTGTGTCGGCTCATGGCCATGGAGCGTTGGCGTTCCTCGGGGCTCTTCCATGCTACTTGACAAATTGGAACAATAGTTAAGAGTTAATTGATGAATTTAGAGACGCTTCTTTTTCATGAAAACGTGTTTCAGATTCTCACAAGGATGCTTTTAGATTCTCACTCATGAGAGTCTCAGACTCCTGGCACTGAGGTCCTTGGTGAATACTTGATGGTGTTTGTCGTGAAAGTCTTGATGTGCAGATGGGTCAATCTCATGATCGCCTTCGGGGAGGTGCCAAGTTGGCGAACAGGTTTCAGTGTTTGTTTCTAGTTTTTCCCCAAACAGTTTACTTCCGCAAACAGTTTACTGTTGGGGTTCTATCTTGGAAAAAAAGAGCTGGCCACACTCACTGGCCGCGCCCCTGAACTCTGTGGCTGGGCTCTGTGTCCAGGCCTTGCCCTCCTCTTGTCCTCTTTGGCTGGGCTCTGTGTCCAGGCCTTGTCCTCCTCTCGTCCTCCTCTTGGCCGCGCCCCTGAACTCTGTGGGTGGGCTCTGTGGCTGGGCTCTGTGTGCAGGCCTTGTCCTCCTCTTCTCCTGTTCCTGTGCTGGGCCTTGTCCTCTTCTTGTCCTCCTCTTGTCCTTGTCTTGGCCGCGCCCCTGAACTCTGTGGCTGGCCTCTGTGGCCCGGCTCTGTGTCCGGGTCTTGTCCTCCTCTTGTCCTTGTCTTGGCCGCGCCCCTGAACCCTGTGGCTGGTCTCTGTGGCCCGGCTTACTGGAGAGGAGTGTGGCCGAACAAATAGCGATGTCAATGCCGACAAAAACTCATTGATGAAGCAGATTCCTCTTGGGGTGAAGGTAGGGCGTGCCAAGAAGTCGATTTTTGACTAATATTGGTCTAAGCGAATCGTTTTGAAGCTGTTTGGGGTCTATGCTTGTATAATTGATTCCTTCTATTCCCAATCGTATACAACACTATGCAATACTCAACTCCTTTTTGTTTGGGATTCATAGTCACATTCTCAGTGGCGGCAAGCATATACCTTCAAAGGATGATATGGTGATAGATGCACCGAGTGCACCTGAAACGCTCTTTACTTGACTCTACCTCAGGATAGCTGTCTTGTCTTGTGCTCTGACCTATTCTGGGAGATGACATTTTCTTCACAACGGGCTGACAGGCGGAGCCTGCTCTCCTTGAGCCGGGGGGCAATGATGCAGACCATGAATGGGTCTTGACCTCGGTGGTGATTCCTTATATCTCAGGATTCTCTAACACCTGAAACATATTGAAACATTGATTAATTCGTACTTCATCATATTTTTTATCATTATATACATCAATTCACATTTTGAAGGCGTCAATGGTCTGCTTCAGGTGCGTGATCATGTTCTTTTTCGGCGGCCGGCTGCCAGCCCGCCAAAGGAAACGGCATGGAACTGAGTCTTATCTTGCCCAGCCCCGTGCGACAGTGCTCATCGCTTCGGAACAAGGACGCTACTAGGGGCTCCTGGCCTTACTACTGGGAACAAGGACGCTACTAGGGGCTCCTGGCATCGCTACTAGGAGCAAGGACGCTACTAGGGGCTCCTGGCATCGCTACTCGGAACAAGGACGCTACTAGGAGCTCCTGGCATCGCTACTAGGAAAAAGGACGCTACTAGGAGCTCCTGGCATCGCTACTAGGAGCAAGGACGCTACTAGGAGCTTTTTCCCACAAAATGCAGCTGAGCTAGCAGGCCGGCTCTGCATCAGCCACAGTCTCTGCTCGGCCGCCACCCTTGGAGGACAAGATCATCGTTAACTGAGTATATATCCGTTTTCGGGAGATGAATTTCATTAGACATTTGTGGAGGAGATGTATGTGGAACAGAACTCCCGCAGCTGGTTGGTGAAGGGTTTGGACTCGTCGCGGACCCTCTCCGACAGATTTGAGGAGACTTTCTATGCTTTCATGCATACTAAGATGTGCAAAGTCTGAAAGATGTTTAGATTTTGGCAGAACTGGCACACGGTGTCTAGCTTGAGCAAGCCAAGTTGAACGGCGCTTTCTTCACGCGTTCTGAGCCAGGAGGCACCTGAGCGGATCAGCCCTTCAGATCCAACGTTGCTGGGCAAAGACAAGAATTTGCCTTTCTCCCCTGGCATCCCCTCTTCAGCAAAGTCTCTCTCCCTCTCTCCCCCTCTCTCTCTGTCTGTCCTGTCCTGTCCTGTCCTGTCCTGCCCTGCCCTGCCCTGCCCTGCCCTGTCCTGTCCTGTCCCGTCCCTGTCCTGTCTGTCTGTCTGTCTGTCTGTCTGTCTGTCTGTCTCTCTCTCTCTCTCTCTCTTTCTTTCCCTCTCACAACAGTTGTCTATTAATCCATCCATCCATCTATCCAACCATCCAGCCGTCCATGTCACTCTTTTGCAGCTTTGGCTGGTGCATCACTTCTTCTTGTGCTCCATCACTTTCATTGCTCATTTGCATTATTTCCTTTGCTTCTTGTATCTAAACCCCTGCGGCCCTGCCTCTTTCTTTTCAAAAGCACTTGGCTGCAAGGCTTCGGGGCAGCGACAGTGTCAGTCACTCCGGCTTCTCTTGCTTCCCTCCGAATTGTATTACTTGGCGCTGTGATGACAGGTCTGTCTGACGGTTGGACCCCACTTCTCCACAAAGTGAGTGGCAAACCATCGTTTCATATAGATAAAAAAGACTCAGATTTTCCCTGAGCTTTGAGCCTTCTGCAATGGCTCCTCTTCTCGCAAGAACTCACCATTAGACTTACTTACAAAAGCTGCAGTGTCTACACTCAAGAAGAGAAGCTGCTGCAGTGTACAAAGAAATTTTAGGCCCATAGGGGGATACAGGTTCAGCTGCCAACTTAGTCTTCTCACTGAGAGGAACAGCTGTTGGATTCAGAAAAGGGCCGTTCTTTGGATCCGGATCCAATCAGATGGAGACGTTGCAAAGACCAAAGACCTTTTCCATATCTTCTGATATTTGCAGCCCTACTACTAGAACCTCCTGGCTTTACTACTAGGAGCAAGGACGCTACTAGGGGCTCCTGGCATCGCTACTCGGAGCAAGGATGCTACTACTTGCAGCCCTAGGGCTCAGCGTAGTCTTCTTAGTCCAAAGAACCAGGGCTTGCAGGGTCGCCCTGTGTGGATGACCGATGCCTAGTGCAGGTGAGGATGAGGGGTGAGGGGCGGGCAGGGGCAGCTTCGCCAATTTGCTACGATGTGATGTAAGTGATGGGACATGCAGGTTGCGCTATTTTGGGAAGCTTTCAAAGATGCTTCTTCTGAAAGCAGCGCCTGGCGCTCGACTAGAGCTGTGACACATGCTGCCTGCACAGCTGCAAGCGCGCACGGGATGTCAGGTTTTGCCCTCCCCCTCGTGCTGAAGCTCAAGAAGGGTCCAGGTGAGCTCACCTTGGAGAGAGCAAGTTTGGAAAACTTCACAACTGCAAAAGCGTAGTCTTTTAACAAAATAGCTGTTCGAACGAGGGTTCAATTCCCGTGAACATCCTGGATGGGAGCGAGTTGTGCTAGCGAGTTGTGCTTATGATGGTGGCTATTTGAACTTGCTTGGCTCAAGCGGCTCAATGTTCACCCGAATTTGCGCAGAGTCACACTCGTGGCATCTGTATGGCTGGCACAGAAGCATGGACATCGCCTGAGGCCATTTTCGTCCATTTTGCATTTTCAGGCAATGCTTGCCATGCAGATTCGTTGGAGGCAATGGAGAAAGCTGCTGTTGACAAAGCAGCTGGAGGACCTGCCACGGGAGGTGGCTGGTTGCTAGACTTTTGGTTGATAGCTGCGCACACTTTTGGAGCCAAGACTAGCGTGCCTGTTCTCCCTTTCTGTGCTGTTAACAGCTTCACGAGGCGGAATGAACTCCTTAACATCATTAGATATCACTAGCTCATTTGGTTGGAATGAACTCCCTGCAAGGAGAAGCCGAAGACCAGACCGCCGATTCGTTGCATGCTTTGGAGGAAGTACAATCACTTCGCTTAATCAGGCTCGGGACATCTCTGTGAGTCGTTGAGACCGTCAGTATGTCCCCAGTCATCTCTGAGGACTTTCCCTGAGAACGAGGCAAAGCCCAAAAGCACTGGCTTAGCAGATTGCTTGTGATCTTTGATGAACCTTTAGAGCCTCTTCAAAGGGCAGGGAGCTTGCATCTTGCAGGTTCTGATTGAAGTCATCGACTCCATAGACTCGCCGTGGCGCTCATTGAAGTCAACCCTCCCTTCCATTCTCCTTTTTGCCTCGGTAAAGGGTTCCCGCATCACTGAGGCCTGACGTGCCCGGACAGGTTCCATCAGAGTCCGACCAGCTCGGGAGTCCGATGCGTCCGATGTGCCAATACACTAGTAGTAAGGCACTTGTTACTACTAGCGTGGCACTTGTTACTACTAGCGTGGCACTTGTTACTACTAGCTTTTTTGTTACTAGTAGTAAGGCACTTAGTAAGCGTATTTTTCTTAATAGCGCATGCCCTTTGTTCCTAGTAGCTTCTTGCTCCTAGTAGCAAGGCCAGGCGCCCTAGTAGCGTCCTTGCTCCAACAAGTGCATTTTTACTGCTAGTTCACGATGTTCACGACCTCTTAGGTTGGAAGAGGTGCCGGTTCCAAAGTGTGGTCAAGGGTCTGGAGCCCAATGGGTTCTTGAACGATGGCCCAAGAGTGATCATAGCAGATGTGAAGAAAGATGAAGAAAGTAGGTGACTCCTACCATTTTGCGACATATGACATATGATGTTTTTGTTTGCCTGTTCTTTCTTCAGATCTACAGTTCCTCAGGCCCCCACCAGACAAGCTCGAGCCCACTTTGCCTTGCAAGCTCCAGCCTCAAAGTACAGCATCTCCAAGCAGAGCACTCTTTCAGCAACTCTCTTGAGGCCAGAGGCAATCCTACTAGAGCAAGAAGCTTAGCCATGCGAGACTGTAGCCAGCTTTTTTGTGACAAACCAAAGCTTTGAGAGGCCCCAAATTGCAAAAGCACAAGGATTTCAAGTGACGCAACTGCCTCGGGCATGACACGTGCGTCACATGCGTCACCTTGGTGCAAAAGATGTCACATCATGGTGAGGTCGGAAGATGAACACTGGCAACGCCATCAGGAGCATCTTGCATACTTGAAGAGCTTGGGGAGTCTTGCGCCCAGCGGAGCGAACGCAGCGAACGCAGCGAATGTAGCGAACGCACAACGTACCTTGCACATCTCGCCCAGTGCTCCAGCTGCTCCTTGCACTTGGAGCTTGCCTTAGGTGACACCTACAATATGGCAGTTGAAGATACAGAAGGACTGTCACCACCGCAAGCCAAGGACGAGGCCAGGCATGCTTTGACATGCTTTGACTAGTGAAAGCAGATGAAAGCAGCATTTTTCAGCCATTTTCAAAGTCGATACATTTGGTGACGATTCTCGACGACATGATTCACGATCGATCGAACAGTCGAAACAGATTCGACACGACAAGGTGGACGACACGACCTGCACCCCTCCCACTTCTCAGCAAGGCCAGGGCCAATACTTTGCGACACGAAGTTGGTCTGAACCCATTTCTGAGATGCCTGACCTGTTAGGCATATCTTTCCTGAAGTTTGTCGGGGAAACTCCTCACGTCAGAAGCTGACAACTGAACATATTCATACTGGTCGAGTTTCAAAGTTCATCTCCGAGGTGGGGATCGACGAGAGAGATTTGAGTGAAACTGCAAGCGTGCGAGACCTGGTAAACACAGGGCTTGAACGTCAGCATTTCGATGCGTTTGCGGGCCCTTCATGCGCAATCTCACTTGCAAGGTGAGAGAAAGCAAAATGGAGGTTGTCAGACTTGGACCTGACCCCAAGGAGCCTGAACAAACGGAACATGTGCCAGGCCGCCATGGCATCAGAATGTGAATGAATGTCAGGAGAGCCCACCTGGATCTGGACCTCGAAACACAACTCCTGGGCGAGGCATGCGTTTTTGTGAGGTTTGCATCAACTTGGGTCTGACATGGTCTGACTGACTGCGCTTTGGTGAGGCCTGAGAGAAAGGGGAATTGAAGGCCCTGCTGGTCTCCCTTTGACAACTGTGGAGAACTTGTCGCAGGCAAAGCTGGCACAGGTTGGTTGACTTGAGATTGAAAAGGTCATCAACGAGTCGGAAAAGACTACAAACACAACCTGGTCCAGTCTACTCCATTGCACCTGCTTGTTGCAGTGTGCCAGGCACAGGACCAAGAAATTTGGCTGAAACTCAAAAGACAACTGCCCCGTGCTGAGCTGTGAAGCATTGTTCTGTATCTCAGTGAACTTTTTGGAGCAAGGCAGAACCTGGAGGAGAGCATCGGCGAGATTGCAAGGAAGTCCATGCTGCAACCTAAGTCCGAAGTAGACCAAGGTATACCTGCTTGACCCATTCGACTTGGTGTTTTGCTAGGAGATATCTTGATGCTCCAAGGCCAAAGCCCAATCCGAACCTGAACTTGACGCAATCCCACCCGTCACGGCCAAAGGAAGCCATCCTGGGTGGTCCCCTGTGGCAAGGACATTTGCGGGCACTCCCCATGATGTCCCCCATGGCGCGGCCTCAAAGCCAAACTTTTGATGATGGTGCCAGCGCCAGCAGCACTTACTCAGAGCTGTCGTCCTCCGTGGCACAGGCTTGGCAGCTGGGCTAGCTTGGTGGGTCATGGAAGCAAACAAAACACTTTCACTTGGTCACTTGGAAGCTCTTTTCTTGATCGTGGAAGAACATACATCTTAGATCATTTTAGCCGCCTCAAATATCCCTTATGACCAAAACGCTGACCTTCCACCTTGGAGCTTGATCACATTAGCTGTCAGGGCCATAGCTCAAGAGCTTCTGTCCAGTCATTCGTCGAAGCGCAGCAGCACGCTCAGTTGAATATGACGGGGTTGTTGCGTGTGGAGAATTGAATAGAATTGAGTATATATCGATTATCACGATTACAGATTACAGTAATCCTGAGCACGTAAAGCACAACAGTGTTTCCTGGAAGATGCCGCAATGCCCAGCAAAGCTTGTGCGAGCATTTTGTACTAATTACAGGCTCCCTCCGCAGGCACCTGAAGAGTGCAGCCCCACAGATATATTTCAAACATAAGATTTGGCAGTGCATTGAAAGTCTCAGAGCAATGATGGTATCAATTGCTGTCCAAAGCAATCTCTGAAGTTTTGGCAAGCTCTGCGAACAATTTTGCTGAACACACAGTACCGACGTTCCAATTCAGAGGCCGTTCCGTTCTAAAAGCATCCTCTTTCCTTGTTTTGCGTCCAAGGACAATGTCTACTCATTATGCCCTCTTGCATTTAAACAGCTGAGAGGATGCTATTTTTCCTTGTAGCAGCACATTCCTGCATGTAAATTTAAACTGTCTTAGTTAAAGACACCCTCTTCTGTGTTAAGGTTGCCTTCTCCAATCCGTAGACATGCCTTTAAAGGGATCCGTGTTCCTGTGAACATTACTCCTGTTGTGTGGACACCTGCATCCATACAAAGATGCACATGTCTTTAGTTGAGGGTACCCTCTTCTGGTAGGCGCATCCACCAAGCAGCCCACTTCTCTGTGAACATCTATTCTATTTTGTGCATAGATACCTGCTCCCATGCAAGACAACGTCTATCTACAAAAAGCAGATTTTGCAGGTCTAGTTGAAGCCAAAGTCTGAGTTGCGCAGTGGACATTTTACTCTGAGGCAAGGATCGATGGTTCCAGATCAGGCCGTGCCAGGGATGCAAGGGCGTCCAGCCTCTAGGATGCGCTGCCTGTCGATGACCCAGTGGATTTTCTGACAGAAGCTTCCCGGACGTATTTGGACTTTTGAATGAACTTTATGTTTTTGGACGTGGGAGGGTTGAGCAAACTTGGTGAAAAACACTGACTGTTCAAGTTTTCAAGGCCAGCAAGCTGTGAGAGCAGGAGCACAAACAGCCTGGCTTCCATAGAGTGGATGCCTTGAATCCTGTCGCCTGTCGGACGTTTCTACCTGAAACACCGTACAAATTTACATTCGCAACTTCAGGCAAGTGCCGTACACTCCTGGCAGTGCCAAGATCATGTCACGCCTGTCGCTTCCTGTGGGAGTTGTTGGCCAGAGACTCAGACAGACTTGGTCATCGTCATTCCCCAACAGCCATGCTATGGGGTCTTGCAAAACTAGACGGGCGCCGTCGGGTCACTGTCAGAGCTGGGCGGATGGTGTCCCGGTCATATATTGATGGTGTCCCGGTGACGGTGTCCCGGTCATGTTGTGACGGTGTCCCGGGCATGTTGTGATGGTGTCCCGGTCGTGTTGTGATGGTGTCCCGGTCATGTTGTGACTGTGTCCCGGTCATGT